CGTTTTAAAGTATTGTCAGTGAAAGCTCCTTTAATAATATGGACAGTTTTCACGCTTAAAATTATGATGTAGCAATAATAGTGTAATGATGATAAATACAGGGGTAACATTACCATCTGTTGATGACAACCTTTAATACACAGATGTAGCAATAACAGTGTAATGATGATAAATACAGGGGAACAATTAACATCTGTTGATGATGACCTTTAATACACAGATGTTGCAATAATAATGTAATGATGATAAATACAGGGGAACAATTAACATCTGTTGATGAAAACCTTTAATACACAGATGTAGCAATAATAGTGTAATGATGATAAATACAGGGGTAACATTTAACATCTGTTGATGACAACCTTTAATACACAGATGTAGCAATAATAGTGTAATGATGATAAATACAGGGGAACAATTAACATCTGTTGATGATAACCTTTAACACACAGATGTAGCAATAATAGTGTAATGATGATAAATACAGGGGAACAATTAACATCTGTTGATGATGACCTTTAATACACAGATGTAGCAATAATAATGTAATTATGATAAATACAGGGGTAACATTTAACATCTGTCGATGATGACCTTTAACACACAGATGTAGCAATAATAGTGTAAGGAAGATAAATACAGGGGTAACATTAACATGTAGTGGTGATGACCATTACATCTAGTAATAAAATGATTGTAACCGGTAGGTGGATGTAACATTAATATTCAATACCATTGTTGTATGTATACACCTGGAAAAAAGTTAAGCACCCCCGTGTTTTTTTCAAGTGATTCAGATTCGACGTTCTTGTGACTGATTATAAATTACCATTCAATCTAAACGTGTTTATCAAATGAAATTATGCATTATTGGGCACAAGAAAACAAGATTATCACCGTAAAATAACAATTTTTAATTTACATTTCATGACATCAACAATGATGACCTTTAACACAACAGATGTTAAATGTTACCCCTGTATTTATCATAATTACACTATATTGCTACATCTGTGTGTTAAGGTTCGTCATCGACAGATGTTAAATGTTACCCCTGTATTATAATAAAGTTAAATTTTCTGAAGTGTATGTAATAAACGAGTTCTTGATTCTACAGCTGTTTTATTTTAGAAACAACAACATACAAGTAGATTTTAAGGTAGCATACAATTATTTATTAACAGCATAGTTTTATCTGTCAACTACGTTACGTACGTCAAACACACGGAACTTACCGAGGGTCCTGGCCACAGACAGAGCCCGAGAGTCTCCTGAATGTAGATAATGCTCGTTCTGGGTGTTGCATATGAGTAGGAGGTCCTGGATTCGTCCTATTCCACTTCTTCCATGTTGAAATGATTTTCTAAAAAAAAAAATTACTATCACCACCAAAAAAAAAGCTGGAAACACTAATCCTTCTTTCACTTCAACCATTAACTTAGAAAACAAAGAAACAAAACCAATATATAATCTGTGTTCACTAGAGCATTAATGAAATGTTTAGTTAATGTTAGTTTCGCAAAGACTGTAAGCATCCTAAATGTCAAATATCAGCCAAAAACATCTATTCCACCACGACTCAATCATCCCCTCCCCCCCAATTCAAAACTTTTAGTACAGTTGACTCACGATTATCTGGGGTAATGGAGGAAAAGGGGGCACAGATAATGCAAAAACACTGATAAAGGTTGAGAAACTGATTTTTACATAATACATGTTAAACTTGTACATGATATACATGTTAAATGTGTACATAATATACATCATGATATACATGTTAAACTTGTACACAATATACATCATGATATACATGTTAAACTTGTACATAATATACATCATGATAGGTTTGACTAAAATCATTTGAAGTTTTTTTGCTTTTTCTTGTTTGATAAGATTTTTTTCAAAATGCAGAACATAGATTAAATAAAACTAGATTAATCGACAATAGCATGTCCTCTTGTTCCTCTAGATAGCTGAGCAGGTTTTCCGTGTGTGACAGGGCTGTGCCATGAAATGATGCACCTCATAGTCACCAGTTCCTCTTGTTCCTCTAGATAGCCGAGCAGGTTTTCCACATGTGACAGGGCTGTGCCATGAAATGATGCACCTCATAGTCACCAGTTCCTCTAGATAGCTGAGCAGGTTTTCAATGTGTGACAAGGCTGTGCCATGAAATGATGCACCTCATGGTCACCAGTTCCTCTAGATAGCCGAGCAGGTTTTCCATGTGTGATAGGGCTGTGTCATGAAATGATGCACCTCATAGTCACCAGTTCCTCTAGATAGCTAAGCAGGTTTCCATGTGCGACAAGGCTGTGCCATGAAATGATGCACCTCATAGTCACCAATTCCTCTTGTTTCCCCTCTTCACTTTCTTCATGACTTTGAGCACGCAGTGATAAAACTTCATGTGCCTGTCTACAAACATCCATTTGTAGCCACTTTCTCCATTTTGCAATACCAGCATTAACTGTGCCAAGAACAAAACCTTTAAAGTCCTTATCATTTCCTGGTAAAACTTTTCCCCACAATTGTTTCAGCATGATAGACTTCACTGAATTTCATGCCGTACCGAGTTCATTTTTATTGCATACAGCACTTTCTAGTATTTCCAAAAGATTTTAGATTGGCACCTTCACCAAAGCAACCCTGCAAAATAATATCATTCCATGTTGGACATGACGCCTTGGTCTACTGGCTGTATCAAGGATGACACTTTAGGTAGTATATACTGTTCATCCACAAATTTTAAAACTGCTTCGTTCAGGTGGGTGGGAAGAGGCATTGCTTTACCTGGCAAACCAAGGAATTTTCAATGGATTTTTAGTTCAGGAATAAATTTCTTTTCAAACCACTCTTTAAAAATTGCAGCTACCTTTTTTTTTGTTGAAATAAATGACAGGAAAACTTGATATTTTAGTCAATTTTCAAGAACATGGTTTAACTTGCACATGACTGCAACATTGCCACAATACAGAAATGTCAAATGTTATTCACATGATTTATAACCTGGAGCTCGATATTCTTGTTCAAAAACCAATTGGAAGATATTTCCAACAGAGGTCGGTTTTTTTTCCACGTTGTGAACTTGTTCTGGCTTCAAATTGTCTCCTACAAAGCTTCAAAAGTGTTGTTTAAACTCGTTTGCCACTTCTTTCCCATTTGGCTTCTCACCTTGAATGTTTATCTCACTTATACCTCGGCACTGCTTTAACTGTGTCAGCCAATCAGATGATGCACAGAAACTGTCATCCATGCGTAAAGATTCAAAAAAAATTTGATTCGTGTAGCATATATGAGACAAGGCACGAGTGTTCCATCTTCCTTCTTCTGGTCAAACCATTCAACAATGACCTTGTCCAACTTGTCACATGTAACTGGCTTCACGGTTCTGCATTTAAATAAACTACTCGCACTGTTAGCAGTACTAGTGAACTCTCCTTGTTGTTTTTTATATCGTGAGCAGTCTGCTCGCTGATACTGAATGGATTTCCCTGTCAAATCATGCTTACTGTTTTCATTAATCTTGAGTTTCTGTTGCATTATCAATATACAACACTAAAAAAAAGAAAGAAAAAGATAAAACAACAAAGCAAAAACAGAATGATATGAATATAACAGATGTGGGATTTCACAGATTGCAGCACAGTTAATCCACTAAAAAAATCACCCACGGATAACCAAGAGTCAACTGTAACATTAACCAATGCAGAGAAATTAACAACGTTATTTCTAGTACTTAAGTGAAACTCCCATAATAGAATTTAACTCATTCATTTTTATCTAGAACTTGAGACTTGGTAAGAGAATCTTTTAACCCACAAAGAAACAAAATGTTGAGTACTGAAAGACTCTTGAACAAGATCTAATACTTCCGTATGTTGGTTAAACATATCTTTAAAAATAATCTGATAGATATTTAAACAGTTTATAATTAATACAATTATTGTTTTCAGTAAATCTCGGAAAATATACTAATTTTTGAAACACTTCAAGTTATTTCTATCTCACTAAATACTTCACAATGATACTTCCCCCCTTCATATAAAATTTGAATGAACTGTTTTGTTACACAATGAGTATTTTAAAATCCAATATGCAAGCTTAGTTCCTTACTTTCATGCTTTAAAAAAACTCGCACAAACACAACGAAAAAAATAAATTTTCAAAAGGCCTACCCCCGTCAGCAATCCTCGTGTGAAATGCAGTAGGGAAAAAAAAAAAACTACATGATTTTTCATGTCTTCAGAAAATCAACATCACATAATTAGTTACAGAAATGTCGTGCACAAATATCTTATCAGTCTGAAACATTCTGTTCACAGAACAGTACGGTACGTACAACTAAGTACAGAGATGTTCCAAAAATTTGATGAAATATCTTATCAATCTGAAACATTTTGTTCACAGAACAGTACGGTATGTACAACTAAGTAGAGAGAATATTTAAATGGCATATATAGGTAAACATTATGTTTAGCAGGCATAAATATATGGGTAAAGATGATGTCTAGTATACATAAATATACAGGTGAAGATGATGTCTAGCATACATAAATATACGGGTGGAGATGATGTCTAGCATACAAAAATATACGGGTGGAGATGATGTCTAGCATACATAAATAATCGGGTGGAGATGATGTCTAGCATAGATAAATAATCGGGTGGAGATGATGTCTAGCATACATAAATAATCGGGTGGAGATGATGTCTAGCATACATAAATAATCGGGTGGAGATGATGTCTAGCATACATAAATAATCGGGTGG